TGTTGAAAAAAAAAAAAAAAAAAAAAAAAAGAAAGGGCCTCATTTCTGTTTGTAGGAGACCGCAACAACCCACTTAAGGACAACTTCGCTTAGGAACCGCCCAAAAGAGAGACCTTCAAGACCCACTTCAAGACCCCTTCCAACATCCCTTTCAACAACCCCTTCAACCACCCCTTCAACGTCCCCTTCAACACCCCTCTAACACCCCCTGCAAGACCTCCTTCAACATCCCTTTCAGCACCCCTCAACCCCCCTTCAACAACCCCTTCAGCACCCCCTAAACACCCCTTTAACACCCCCTTCAACCACCCCCTTGAAGACCCCTTTCAACACCCCCTTCAACCACCCCCCTAAGATCCCCTTCAACATCCCTTTCAACACCCCCAAACCCCCCTTCAACGCCCCCTTCAACACCGCCTAAACACCCCTTTAACACCCCTTTAGCACCCCTTTCAAACACCCCTTTCAAACACCCCCTTGAAGACCCCACTGGATCTAGTCCTTCCTTTACAAGGACTCTATCTGGCCGCTCATTTTGTGACTTTGGAAGTTTGAGGGCCTACTGTGAGTATGCTCTAAGGAAGGCAGATGAGAAAACCTGATGACTGACTCAGGTCGGTACTCAATGTCTGACTCGAGTTCGGGATGCCACTTCTTTTACGACGGCCCGTTTTAGGGAAAATTTGGGATCCCACTTTGTTTCCGCGGAAGTTGGAGGCGGCCGCGGATGTGGAAATGCCCTCATACGTGGCCATGTGAGCGGTATTCAAGGGGCGGTAGTTTTTTCGAAAAGGGGGAGACACCAACCCGGTACCCTGCCCCGACAAAGATGGGGGCCCTTTTTCTCGTTTTTTTTTTTTTTTGTTCCGCACGTCTGCCATTCCTCCATGGTCCGTGAAAGCCCCATATGGTTCGTGAAAGTCCCCGCCTTTTCGGCGCCTTTTCGGCGATGTGGGCTCCAATTTTTCTTTCATGGACCATGCGGCCCCTTTTGGGTTCTTTCGAAAAAGAGAAGAGGTTCCAGCAGGTGATGCTCCCCACCAATAGATGGAGCCTCTCCCCAGGTGCTAGCGGTGTCTGCTTTTACCAGCACCACTAGCACTGGAGCGAGTGTTTGTCTTTTTTTAAAAAAGAAAAAAAAGAAAAAAAAAGAAAGGGATCAAACTCTTAGATCCTCGTTAAGTGGCGAAGTCGACATCCCACCAAATCACCAGACCTGACGACTACTATACTCTTTTCCACGTTCTCTCCGAACGTGTGCATAATTTTCTGCAAATGCTTTTTTTTTTTTTTTTTAGGGCGTGTTGATAAGAGCAATCACCACCAATTTCTGCAAATGCTAATAAATCAATATTGTAATTCCCAATGGCCTTCGAGCAACGTGGATGTGGAGAAAAGAGGTGGTTTAGGGACTACACTGTTTTGCCTCTGCTCAACGGCAGAGCTGACTGCTGCATGCTTACAGTTGGGTCCAGTGGCACATACAACATTACACACTTCACCCGAATAGAACACCCGGTCATTACCGCTGTAATATAGAGTGAAAGTTGCCCCAAATACAGCAATGATGACCGGGTGTCCTATTCCGATTCCGGTGAGGATGGCAGGGTATGCACCAGATCCATGCTGGTGCAGCAGCATGCAGCCGCTGGGTTGGTTGCATGGCCGTAATCTAGTCTTTCTTCATGGCCAGAGGTACAACCTTCGGTCCGTCTAATATTGTTGGGCCTAAAGGCACTTGTGCAGGGGCCCTTCCAGGTATATGGCGGTGCGAGGGTGCAGGGGCCCTTCCACGTATATGGGCGTGCGAGGGTCATCCAGGAGTCAATATCACGGACCACTGTTTCATTTTCGACATTTTGTCTTGGTGTTTTGCCTTCTACCTTATTTTCAAACTTCTTCTTCTTCCTTTTCATCCAGTCATTGAATATTCCGGGGTAGGGGCAGGGGGGAAGAGAGAAGATTGAGGGGGTTGGTGTGTTGGATTCGATAGGCTTGTAGAGTGCTTAGAATCCTCTTCCCCCAACCCCCAACCCCCTCGATCCTGTTCTCCTGACCGGCCTATCGAATGCAATGCCACGGGGGAAGCTTATGATTACTGCCCTACTCTCCCCTTATCTCTCTCTCTCTCTCTCTCTCCCCCCCCCCCTCTCTCTCTCTCTCTCCCCCGTTTCTTCCCCCCCCCCCCCTCCCTCCCTTGCCCCTCCCTCACATCCCCTTTTACTAGTTCGCATCAAGCTATCGAATGTGTGGACCACCTTCGTCTGCTGTTTCGTCTTCTTCATGCTGGTCTACTAGTACAGTTACTACCATCTTTTTTCTTCTTTTTTTCCCTACACTCTTAAAGAATGCAAAGGGCCCAGCATGACGCTTCCCGCTGGGCCCAGCGAAAATCTGTGCGGAGGGGGGGGGGACTGGGACCGGAGTGTGAGTGGAGAACGGCACGACGGATGTGGGCCTGCGTGGGCGTGCGGGGAGTGCGTTTTTTTTTTCTTTGCGTATGGTGTGGGCCGCAGGGAGCAGACAACGTTATCGGAGCACTGTTTTGTGCGCATCTACGGCGGGCCTGTGCCGAGTGCAGTGCGTGAGGTGTGGCGCGGCAGCAGTATGCGGAGTGCAGTGCTTGGGGCGTGGCGCGGCGGCGGGCAACAGTGGGGTGCGGACCAGGAGAGTGGGGTGCAGAGCAGGAGAAGGAGAGTGCCATGCGCCAACGTCTGGAGTTGTGTGCGCTGCGCGAGCGTCCACGCCCCGGCGGCGGGGCAGCAGTGGGGTGCGGACCAGGAGAGCGGGGTGCGGAGCAGGAGAGTGCCATGCGCCAACGTCCGGAGTCGCGTGCGCTGTGCGAGCGTCGGGAGTGGCGTGCGCTGTGCTCGCATGGGGAGTGACGTGTGACCTCGGGTGGCAACGACAGGCGCGCCTGCGGGAAGTGTGCGAGGTGGGGGAGCGGTGAAACACTATAAAAGTGTGTGTGTGTGTGTGTGTGTGTGTGTGAGAGAGAGAGAGAGAGAGAGAGAGAGAGAGAGAGAGAGAGAGAGAGAGAGAGAGAGAGAG